TACTGTAGAAACTTTGTAAATGATTTTCTAGTTTTCATCCTAGTGCCACAAGCCCAGCACAAAAAATTTTCACAGTGATCTACTTCTCTGCTCAAGATTCCTAATAGCTTCTCATTTTCCAGGGTAAAAAAGGCCAAGTCCTCAGGAGGACTACAGGTCCATGTGGGCTGCTCTGCCCCACTCCTTCCACTCCATCCACAAAGGCCTTTTGGCTGTTCCTTGAACAAGCTAGATACACTCCTACCCTAGGAACTTTGTTCTTCATATTTTCTACCTCTGGGCTCAGACCCAAGGCCCACTGAGACTCACTCCTGTTTCCCTTCAACCCTTTGCTCACCTTTCATCTTTCCAATGAGGCCTGCCTTGACCTACTCCATTTAAAAAATTGATTCTCGGGCTGGGGCTGTGGCTCAGTGGTAGAGCGCTTGCCTAGCATGTGTGAGGCACTGGTTTATATTTATTCGTATAAATAAATGAATAAATAAATTAAAGGTCCATCCATGTCTGAAATTTTTTTTTAAATTCTCTTCCCCTACCCTGAAACCAGCTTGATTCTTAATCCCTAGTCTTCTTCTTTTACATATTATATAAATTACTATGTTTATGTTCTGTCTTTTTCACACAATGCAAATTCCACAAAAGCAGAGATTTTCTGTTTCAGGATACAGATGCATCCTGGAAACTTGGAATACTTCTGGCACATTCATAGAGGCAGTCAATAAATAATGGTTGAATAAATTTTAACGAGGAAGCATGTATAAAAACAGAGGGCTGGCTAACTGAAGTCATTGCAGTGGGATTCAATCTTTTGCGACCAGCTATTTTACAAGGGGTGAGAGCCCTATGTACTGGGCATTTTGAACATCGAAGAGGAAGCTGTGACATCCTCCCTCTCAGGGTGAACCAGGATCCTTTGAGAGTTCTGGCATTCAGGAATGACTGACAGATGCACAAGAGAGCTCAATAAATATTTTGGACTGATACAAAGAACAGCTTATGTCTGGCAACACTGGGCTCCTAGCTTCTTTCATTGAAGGAATAACCTGAAAAGTAGAGTTTGGTCTCAACTGTCTTCTGAACAGAGCAGATGTCAGGTCAGTCACAGAAACCCTGATCTGTGGCTAGTTCCCACATATTTCACAAAGCTCTTCTATCTTCTGTGCCCATCATTGTTCCCTCCAGAACTCGTCAGGGTAGCTCCACTTTTTCACTGTCACAAGGCTTCCCAGGCTTCCCTCTCTTTGGGTGTTAGGAAGCCCAAGTGTGTGGCAGATGGGGAGTCCAATTACTATGGGCTTAATTAACAGTGTTATCTAGTAGTTTTCTTAGAAATACTTATTCTTTTTTGAGAGAGAGAGAGAATATTTTAATATTTATTTTGTAGTTTTCGGTGGACACAACATCTTTGTTTTATTTGTATGTGGTGCTGAGGATCGAACCCAGCGCCCCTCGCATGCCAGGCGAGCATGCTACCGCTTGAGCCACATCCCCAGCCCAGAAATATTTATTCTTACTACGTAAATTTTTTGTTATACCCAAAACACATATAATATTGAATACTAAGCTTAATATATTTTTTATTTCCCCCTTTTTTTCTAACAGGAGGCAATAATAACAGTCTATGTATGTGTCCATATGACAGGCAGACATCTGATTTCCCTTATCTCCTCTTAGAGGAAGATAATCAAAATAGAACATTAACATTGAAAAACTTGCAATGTGAGCTATCCTATGAATCTAACTCAAGGGCTTAGAACTCTAATTCATAACTCATGGGGGTAGGAAATTGTCTTTGTGACCTACCTCAGAAATTCTCATTTAGTAGTTGTTTACAGAACACTACAAATCTGTACTTTTGAGTATTCTAGGTGGTTCTGATGAAGAATTTCACAGGGCCCACTGGCAAACCCTCAAATACACCTCAGACAGAATGTAGAAAGGAGGATGAAAATGAGAGACTAACCAAAACTTAAACATGTAATGTACTACATGATAATAATAAGGTAGTAACAAATGAGCAGCAGCAGATTCTTGGGAACTAGTCATCAAATGTTATTAATGAGTATATAAACTACTAAAAGTGCACACAGTCATTGATGGAGGAATGGATTTTAAGAAATTCAATGTGCTCCTTTAAAGAATGACAGAGCGATACTAAATATATCTTGTGTGATTCTATCTATGTGAAAAAAAATAAAAGCTCATACATTTATCAGATATTTGAAATAATAGCAAGTTCAAGAAAAATCAATCTTGAATAGTTCAGTCCTTTGGCTTTTCACAGACATGGGAACTGGCTGTGGGTGTTACCTGGATGGTGGAACCCATCCAGGGGTCAGTTTTGGTTTTGTAGTCTCTTTTAGGGAGTTCTAGCAATGACTGACTCTATTATTTTCCAGTGTTTTTTTTTTTTAAGTATTTAATATAAAGCCCATTCAATTTATTGTTCCTTGGGATTCTGCTGGCAAAGATTAAATTAGATAGTCTGAAAAACATTCTGAAACAATCATAAAAGACCCATTCATGAAATGTAAATTGTCACTATTATAATAATGATGACTGGGGGTACAGCTTAGTGGTAGACTACTTGCCTACCACGTATGAGGCCCTGGGTTAGATACCCAGCAGTGGGAAAAAAAAAAAAAAAAAAAAACCAAAAAACTATATAGTAATCTGGAAAGAAGTTTGCAATCATTGAATTCAAAATTCTATATTTATTAAGATTATAATTATGAAAAACCACAAACTTTGAAGTCAATTGTTAATAACTGGGGTACTGCAAAGGGATGGACTCATCTTTTCAGTAAGGCTGATGAACTAGGTAGCATTTTATTATTCACTGCTTGGAAAAGGGGAGGCAAAGGGCGAATATGAAGTATGAGTTGCCTCACATAAGTCCCATAAGACATGATTTCTCTCTTCCACTCTTGGGAAACTAATAAGCCACATGTATAAATCCATCAATCTATCCCTTGATAATTCAGCTCATTTTTATTACAAGGGTAGATGTCCTCTATTCTTTATATTTCTATAAGTTTATTTGCACAATTTAAAAAGTCAGCATATATATATATTCTCCCATTATAATCTTTCTTGTCCCTCAAAGAGGTTCATGTAATTTCAAAGAAAACATTGCTATTTACTCTTGGGATAGTCATTAAACTCTAGCAGCCTATATCCTCATCTGTACAACAGGGATGCTATGAGCTTTGCCTGAATCAGGTATGAGATGCAGTATACACAGCAGGTTGGAAAAACGGTGAGATTCAGAGCCAGGGAGTCAAAAAAGTTCTAATTACAGCTCTGAAATTTAGTCATTGTGTGATGTTGGGCAAATTATAAAACTTCTCAGAGCCCCAACTTTGAAATGGGCAACATCTACCTTACCGGATATATGCACATGTGGTATTTAAAATAGTACCTTTTGCACAATAGGTACTCTACATTAAATGGAAAGTATCATCATAACATTGCTTTGTGAACCACAAAAATATATCAGTAAATGCAGTATTGATAGTGATAATAGAAAAAGGGACAAGAGTCATGAACAAAATTGGCAAGGGAAGAGCAGAAGTGCTGGGAATATAATGTTTACAGAGGGGTGAGTAGCATGGCACAGTTAGAAGAAGGGTTTCTGGAGAAAATAATCCAATTTTTATTCTCAAAAATACACGATAACACTGAAAGCATTATAAGAAAAACATTATAAGATGTATGTTTTATGTGGTATATATACACAATGGAATATTACTCAGCATTAAAAGAGACTAAAATTATGGCATTGCAGGTAAATGGATGGAGGTGGAGAATATATCATGCTTAGTGGCAATACCAAAAAATCAAAGGTCAAACGTTCTCTTTGACAAATGGATGCTGATCCATGATTGGGGGGCAGGCATGGGAAGAATGGAGGAACTTTGGATTGGGCAAAGGGGAGGGAGGGGAAGAGGTATGGGTCAAAAAGAATGGTGAAAACGAAAGATGGTGGAATGAGAAGGACATCATTACCCTAGGTACATGTACAATTGCACAAATGGTGCGACTCATGTAAATGGAAAAATGAAAAGTTGTACTCCATTTGTGTATAACGAATTAAAATGCATTCTGTTGTCATGTATAACTAATTAGAACAACAACAACAACAACAAAAAGATGTATGTTTTAGGAAAATCATTGTGTAGTATGTGGAGAATGGGATGGAGGGAATCAAGTTGGAGGCAGGACAACCACTTAGTGAAGATACAAAAGAGCATGAAATTGAACTAGAGCAATTGGGAAAGAGGTAGAAAGGCTGGATCTGAGAGGCACAGAGAAGAGATAGGAGGCTGTTAACAAGAGTCCAGTGAAATAAGGGGAAAACTCTAGCAGAGTAAGGGTATAAAGGAATAAGAATGGCAAAGAAAGAAACTAATGTGTTTTCATGAGTAAAGAGGGATTCAACAGGATTTCAAGAAGGGAACTAGGAGAATGATAATTCCATTGTTCGAGACAAGAGAAGATGAGTTAAGTTTTGGACAAGAAGGGTCAAAGGCATTTAGAGATGTCCACTAGGCAAAGCCCAGGAGACAGATCTGGGCTTCCTACGCAGAGTTGGAAGTCATCACTGTAGAGATGAGAACTGAAAGAATGGGAAAGAATGAGAATCAAAAAAGATCATGATCTCCATAATCATAAATTATGATTTATGAAAATTGCCTTAAAAATGTGACATATTTACACAAGCACTAATAAGAGAGGACAGAAGTTGCCTAAACAAAAGCTTTACCAGCAATGAATTTGAAAAGAGTAATACAGTATGAATAGGATCAGTAAAAATTTTATTGACTTATTAAATTTGTGATTTTCACCTTTACCATATAGACAAAAATGCTAATAAAATAATTGTGTTCCTTCATGTATAAAAATTAAAACTGGCCCAAACGCAATGCTTCTAAATGTCTGCTATTAAATTAAACTAAGTCTTTTTCCTTTGTATCAATAAATATGCAAAAAGAGACAAATTCAAAAATTTCAGTGTTTATTTACATATTACATTATTGAAAACAATTGAAAATTCAACAGAAAGTCAGCAAATGTTCATAGGCCTGCCTGTCTCCAGCACTAAGGGAAAATGAGTCTTAGAGTCCCATAGAAGTTGAAATCTTGATGGCAGAACTTCAAACGTTGTAATCACTTGCCAAGGAAGTGCCATACTTGGTCTGTGTTTAACATGGGGGGAGAAGGGTGTAAGGAAGAGGTGAAGAGGAGTGGGGGTGGGAAGGGAGGAAGGACAGTATAAGACATTTAATTCAGACCTTTAGGAGACATTTAAGCAGATGAAAAGAGTCACATTTGTAGTATGTTATGTTTCTCTAATTAAAGCCACTTCCCTCTAAACTCTTGTCCTATGTTCTCTTTCATTTAACTTATGCCTCATATATAAAACTACATTAAAAATTTGAGAGCCTTACCAACTTATTTCCTACCCCTTTGAGGGTCATTTTCATTTCTAATGAACAAAACAGAAGTTAGTATCCTAGTTACAACAAGAAGGGTCTAGGAAAACCTTTTACTGTAAAATTCCAATTTTACAGTTCCACCCAATTCCCCAAATGAGATAGTATTGCAAGAAACAATCTGTTAGCTTAGCATATAAGGAACACATCTTGCCTTCCCATGCAATCATGTCTAGGATTTTATTCCTTTCTACACATCTTGCAACTCAACACATAGTAAATAGTTCTCATTTTCCCCTCCAACTTTGTAAAGTGAAAGGGCCTCTTGTATTTTATATTAAAAGGCCAAAAGCCTTGCAATATTTTGAAAGATTAAATCATAATGTGCATATGCTCCCATGTTGAATTTTTACCATAGAATATCCTTACTTGTTTCTCAAAACAGTTTCAAGTAAAGGTAATAAAAAATATGGTATTTATTTTCAATCTTATTATAAGTTTTAAGAGCTTTAGTTAAAATGAGTTATATATTAAAATGATGAGAGATAATAAGGAATCTTCCAGAATCAGATATCTGGAGTGTCTTATTATAAGAACTAGCTGGAATTTCATTACTTTAACAAAAAAAAAAAAAAAAAAAACAAAAACAGCCACTGCACAATCAAACCATTTTCTAGCCTAAAAGTAATGTTTTTATCATTTTCAGAAATTAGAAAATGATATTTTATCTAAAAACTCAAATGTTCTTTAAAAAATAGTTTTCTTAGTTTATATAATTTTTTAATTAATTTAACCTAATTTTTTGGTTTCTACTACTGTAAATAAATAAATTCATATGTTACTCAAGAAACAAAACATACTATACCGTCTATATTACTTTCTTTATTTGACGAAGATGTTAAGACCTGAAAGATAAGAACAGTCTGTTATAATGAATATTTATATGTGGAAGATGAGTCCAGAACTAAAATCTTTTCATGAAATTGTAGAACAAAATTGACATACATCTGTTTCCTAACCTAAAAAAATTCCCCTCTTTTTTTTTTTTTTGCATTTTATTATCATTGCTCATTATCAAACCACAGATGTAGAGTCAAATTTAAAAAGCATGCTGGAAGATATTTTCTATCAATAACCTATGAGAACTACTAAGGGTCTTGTAGCTGAAAATGTGAAGAGATTTTCTTTCAAAATATCAAACACACATTCAAATATATGTGCATGTACATAATACAGCTATAATATAATGTGTGTAAATATACAATTTTGCTATCTTCTAGAGTTTTTAAATCACCTTTTCTGTTTATTTTGATGGCTGAGCCAAGAGTCTTATAACAGAGATTATGTATCTGTGGTAGACAAGTTTGAAAAAAGGTTTTTCTAAGAACAAGATTTTCACCCCCTAATTATGAACAACATTGTTTTGTTTTCATTTTAACATTCTATTGGGAAGGCAGCACAAAGCTTCTGTATTTAGTTTAATGAATCAATAGAGTGAACATCTATGTAATCTCTGCCCAAGTCAAGAAATTTAATAATTGCAAATTTAATAATCTACTTCTAGTCCTCCAAATTTGTCTACCCTCAACATGAAGGATCTTGGCAGAGGTAAAAATGGAAGACTACATACCATACATATAAATATTTAAAAGTTACAATAATGAAATGAAATGATGAATAAAATATAAAATATGTCCTATACAACTATTCTGATAAATATCTTTGTTCTAACTTCTCTTTTAGCATTCTGGGGACCTCAGAGACGTGTGCTGGAATGTGGTGGATAAAGAAAGAGGCACATGGCCCTGGTCCTGCCCTACTTCTCTTCTTATACCACACTCTTTTCTGCATTGTGAAGTCCTCACCTAAACATGAGCAAAAACAACAGCCACACCTCCATATGCACTCCCTGCCTCCAATGACCACCCAATTCTGGTCCCAGTAGAGGCAAGAGTGGGCACAGTCAGGAGTATGGATCTAGGGAGTTGTGCAACCTGATTTCCATGAGGCCCTGGAAAAAGGCTCCTGGTGAATCTCTAACTTTGAACCTTTGGTCTTTTTGCTCCATGGAAAGGGATGTGACTGAATTAGTGCCAAAGCAGGACTCTCTAAAAAAGAAGGAACCAAGGCAGGGCTCTTGTTGCTTAGTTTGATGGGCAGTACTGAATAGAAACAATTCAGCAAAAAGAAAAATATGAATTTCAGCAATATTAAAAATATTCTCTGGAATAGTTAATTTTATGGGTCAACTTAGACTGAGTTATTGGATAATAGCAACATTTAAATCAGTGAACTTTGGGTAAAGTAGATTACCTTCCATAAAGTTGGTGGGCCTCATCCAATCACCTGAAGCCTGAGTAGAACAAAAACACTAACCTCCCCATCAAGAGGGAATTCTCTAGAAGGCTGTTTTAGAACTTAATCTGCACAAATGGTTCCTCTGGGTTCCCAGGCTGCTGGCATTCACGCTAGAACTGTACCATTTACTCTCCTGAGTCCAGCCTACCAGCCCACCTACAGAATTTGAACTTGCCAAGCTTCCATAAACATACAAACTAATTCCTTGCAATAAATCTTGTTATAAATACAGTCATGCATTGTTTAACAATGGGCATACATGCTGAAAAACACTTTAGTAGGTGATTTCAATTGTGTGAACGTACCAAAAATAGTTTCTGTATTAACCTTAGCTTGCTGTAACATTTTCACTTTATAAACTTGATTTTTTGACTTAAAAAAAAAATTGATGTGTGCATGAACTAGGGATTGAACCAAGGGTCTTGTGCATGCTATGCACATATTCTGCCACTTAGCTACATCCCCAACCCTATTTAAAATATTGACTCTTCTGTACAAATTTTTTTTTCTTTATATCTTTGTTCTATAAACTTTCTTATATTTTTAACTTTTCCTTTTAAAACTTCTTCATTAAACACTAAGAATACAAGCGTGCACATTAGCCTAGGCCCCAGGGTCAGGATCAATACCACTGTGTTCATCTCCACACCTTGACCCACTGCAAGGTCTTCAGAGCAATATCTCCTATAATACTGTCACTTCCTATGAGAACTACACCTTCTTCTGGAATCCCTCCAGAAGGACCAGCCTGAGGTTCCTCTTGGGGCAGTGCCACTCTTCAGATATATGTCCATTATGGTTTGCTTATCTTTTTACACCATAGATTCACCTGTGAACAGTAATGCTCCATGAACAATTCTATTAATTAAAACTTTTCAGTGTTGGGGCCATGTTTTCAAACTTTGTAAGGAGAGCTTGTTGAGTTCAGTAAAATTTTCTGCTAAACCCTTCACTGTGAATTTACTTGGTGGTCTTCTTTTACTTCTTCTGTAGTTTCCTTTTCTCTTGCCTGTTCCACTTCCAACAATTCATCATTATTTATTTAGTGTCATTGTCTCCTTTGTGATGCTGATACTGGGTAATGTATAAAGAAAAGAGGTTTATTTGGCTTCTAATTCTGGTGACTGGAAAATCCAATCAGTATAGTTCTGGTATCTGGTAAGGGCACTTGGCTCTGTCACAACATGGCAGAAAAGCAGGTACATGTGGAGAAAGGTTACATGGCAAGAGAGGAAGCAAGTGACTGAGAAGGGACCAGGTTTGGACTTTTCAAACATTGTGAGAACTAATTTACTCCTATGAGACTAAATCCACCTTGTGAGACTAGCATTATTCCTTTCGTGAGGGTAGTCATGACCCAACCATCTCCCACTAGACCTATCTCTTTCGATACTATTATACTGAGGAATTATGCCTTAACATGAGTTTGGCAAAGACAAACCACACGCAAATCACCACACTCAGGAACCACCTCTAAGAGGTCCTGTCATCTTCACCCCCACACAGGTTAAAGCTGTTTGACATCTCCTAGGTGACATCACCAATACTAAGCAACATTTTGGTGCAGTTATCTTATAATCTTCCAGAATTGCATCAGGTCTTCTTCAACTACGGCAGCAGCCTGAGCTAAGGTTTTTCACAGGCAGAAGAGGTTAAAAGCTGATCTATTACTTCTTGATCCTTTGGTTGGATCCAGGAGGTGGAGTTTTAAGACAGAAACACTGCTGTGACATTGGATGATGTGCAAGAGAAGATTATGTACCATAAGCAATATCTTAAAAAGCTTTTTATTTTCTTTAAAACAACAGTGCTTCTCCATTTTATTGACTCAGCAATTCAGGGGGCATCTTGGAAGAGGGCCATCTATGACTTCTCACTGCCTGTGTGCTTGTGGTATGCTTGAAGGCCTTGAGGTTCTTACTCTGCCATATCACAAAGGGTCTCAATTTGTAGCTGGCAAAACTGCCCCAAGCAAGACTGTTATCCTGTTCTTCAAATCCTTGAAAACTGGCACTGACTTGGCCTCTTCATGGATGAAGTCTTCAGATATACTATTCCTGAGGGTTACATCCATCCTGAATGTCTGCTCTGGCATAGAATTTTCCTCCACAGTCAGCTTCTCTAGAGTTTCCAAAAGTTCAGCTGTTGAACATCTGCTCCCACAGATTCATTACTCACTTCCACATTATGTAATGAATAAAAATTCTTAAATCATTTAGCTCTCCCGAGCTGGCAGTAAATTCAACATTGTAGTCAGGTCCAGTCCTTTCTCTCACAATTGCAAACAAACTTTTGCTTTGCCTGTGATCATCATGGAGCTGAGAGGGATATGCCTGTCTGATCTTTAATCCATCAACTTTCTCCATGTCTGATGCAGGCCCTTCTCAAATTTTCATTAGTGTTGGTATCTTCAATGAAGCAGATCCTTTAACAGCTTTCGTCATTTTGTTCTTGTCCTTCAGGATTGTAGCTATGGTGGAATGGGACATGCCTGGCTGGCAAATGGTAACTACTGATTTTCCACCTTAGTAATCCTTAATCACTTTTAATTTCATTTTCAGGTCAATCACTTGATGTGGTCCCGTACTGGCAATTCTCATAGACTTTATACAATTAGGAACTATGATGAACAAAACAAGAGATCAAATCAAGCATATGATAACTGATATAATCAAGAGACTCAGTTAACTTAAGATGTTAAGAGGCTGCTTCTCATGTACAATGGCACAATCTTTTACAGTAGCTATTTTTTTAATAAACAGGAGTAAACACTAAAAGTAATGATAAAAAGTATAGTACAGCAAATACACAAATCAAGAAAATTGTCATTTATTATCATTATCAAGACTTATGCATGGTACATAACTGTACTTTTAAATGACTGAGAATAGCCTTTTATACCAGCATCACCAGCTACATGGCATGAGGCAATAGGAATGTTTCAGCTCTCTCATAAGCTTATGGGACCACAGTCATATGTGGTCCATTTAGACAAACAGTGGCGTAACTGTATGAATATCTATCTGTTCTATTCCCTTGAAGAATTCCAATACATTCCTATAAATCATAAATGGTTTACAGTTAATTTTCTTTCTACTCTTTATTTTAGGATAAGGCTTTGAAAATTTTTTCTTATATTGAAGAATAACATAACCATATAAGTAAGACACTTATATAATTTAAGCATTTAAAAAATTTAAAAATGATATCTTTAAATGTTTCCAAGTACTTAAAAGAAGAAGAAAAATTCTATCTGCCTTTCTTGTAGAGAAAAAATAACCATTATTGGTTTTGAGGATGGCAGACCATGAAACTGAGTGTGACAGTAACACTGGAACATAAAAACTCCACTAACTGAGACTAGGCATGGGGATTTGATTGCTCCCGCTTTCTAAACAGACTGTATAGTAACCAACTTATTCTTTGAAACTGTTGTGCTCTATTTAAGTTGTATGGGATACTTATTATGCAAAGTTTGTTGGAAAATTATCTGGTTAAATTTCCTTTTGAAAATTAACAGCTGCTTCTTTCTGGAGCTGCCAAATATATCATAAGAAGAAAATGGATGGTGTAAAAAAATAGAATAATTGAGCAACTTCTCATTAACCTAAAAAGCATTACAGAAAAGAAACTGCAAGCTACTCTAAGACATTTATCACTACATATTATTTTAAAAATAATTTTGAAAATGTTTTCATTTATTCATTCTTAAAATATGTGTATTTGTATTTTTGGTACAAATTAAACCCAGAGGTGCTTAACCACTGAGCCACATCCCCAGGCCTTTTTTATATTTTATTTAGAGATAGGGTCTCAATGGGTTGCTTAGGGTTGTGCTAAATTACTGAGGCTGGCTTTGAACTCACAATCCTCCTGTCTCAGCCTCCTGAGCCGCTGGGATTACAAGGATGCACCACTGTGCCCGGCTTAAAATATATTTCTTGATTGGCAGAATATGTTTAGAATATACAAAGCTTTATTTAAAAGAAAACAAACAATGGTGCATGGTGGCTTACCCAGCTACTGGGGAGGCTGAGACAGGAGGATCCCAAGGTTGAGGCCAGCTTTGGCAACTTATCCAGACTCTGCTTTGAAATAAAATAAAAGGACTAGGGAGTAGTGAAGCTTTTTTCTCACATGTGCTAGGCACTGTGTTCAATTCCCTGTACTGGGGAAAAAGAAAGAAAGAAAACAATAGAAAAACAAAACAAAACATCATGGCATCATGGGTAGGTTCAATAGTCAGCTGTTGAGAACATTTGGAGGGTGGTATGTGTGTGTGAGATTTGGATTGGAGGTAATTTTTTAAAAACATCTTTTTCATATTGAAAGGGAATGAAATTTGCTGCGCCCCTCCCCTGACTCAGGCAATGGCAAGGCCCTACTGAGGTGGATGGCGCAAGGCGTCCATCCTCTGGAGGAGCGCAGTATGTTTCTGGGAATGGGGGGGTTTGTTTTTGTACTCCTTTAATAAGTATAGTTGCGATTTCTCATATGACCATTAAGTATGAAGGAAAAAACATGACTTTCCCAATTAATGCAACTACTTCTAAAGAATGGATCTGCTTGCTCTAAATGCAATGATTCAGCTGTGGAACGTAAATTGTTAATGTCTAATGAAAAACTCCCTGTATTCCTGCCAAGGAAGTTTTTGAGAAATTAAATTAAATTAAAATCTAGAGAAGAATTAATGTTAAGAAGACAGATTAGTGCTTAGTACTGGGCAACTTGTTCTTGTTCCTGTGCACAATGGTTTGTGCTCTTACTCTTGTTTGATTAAAATTAATAACAAGTTAACCACTTGCTGTAACCATGGTACTGGTTCCAGTCAGTAAGTCAAGAAAGAATAGTCAAGGTATAGGCCAATAGTTGGGACATTTCTAATTATTATTAAAAGTTAACTAAATAGAAACAGCTCAAAGCAAAACTCGAACTGAAAGGAAAAATGCTTGCTTATGCCCAAGCCAAGAGACATTCTTCTGTTCTAATTGTAGCTACGTAATATTTTGTTTTTTTGAATAATGATTCCTGTTTTGTAACCACAAAGTACTGTGAGCCTGCCAAAATGAGAAGTATATATGATCAACTTCATAAGTAAAGATTGGGATTCAGCACCTTCACTTTGGTGTCTGTGTTGTTTCTCTACCCGCCTTTCGCCAACTCCTCACCATCCTCACCATCCCTTTGTCTCCTGAGACCCCCTGTTGGAGCTGGTCTCCGACAGATATTTAAATTTGAAAATAACAATACTAAGAATAGGTTCATGTAAAACATCAGCTACTTCACTCTTCACCTACAGTCAAGGATTTCCTGGTTCTTAAACATAATGAAAAACATAACACTATGAATTTTCTACAGTTTATTTACCTGGTCTCTTATTGTTCCCAATTTTTCCACATCTGATTACATAAGCACATGTATTAATGTCTCTATGAGAGATATACTTACCTAGAAAGGCAACTTCTAAACAGTGAGTTATAAGCACCTTCAATTTCACTAGAAATTATTAATGTTCTTCCAAGTAGTTATACCACATACACCCCTATAAAGCATATCCACCCAGTAAGAGAGGTGTCCTTTCCCACATGCTTGAAAACATCTGGTATCATCAGACATCTAAACTTTCAGCAATCAGATAATTACAACACTGTATTATGTCTTATTTTTTTTTTAAATTTTTTTAGTTGTTAATGGACCTTTTAAAAATTAATTTATTTATACGCAGTGTTGAGAATCAGAACCCAGTGCCTCACACATGCTAGGCAAGTGCTCTGCCATTGAGCCACAACCCCAGCCCTTATTTCTTATTTTGACATACTGATTACTAGTGAGACAAAGCCAATGTTCCTTTGTTTAGTGGCCATTTAATTTACATTTGTTCTCTTGTGAACTGTCCACTCATGTTGTCGACCCACCTTTTTCCTACTAGGTTATCTTTTTCTTGTTGAATTGAATACATCATTTATTATTTTAGATGCTAAAGCATTTGTCATTAAAGTTTCATTACATGAAAATATTTTTCCATACAATGGCTTATTTTTAACTCATTTTGTGGTATTGTCAGCTGCTTATATTATTTTCCTCATTACTTAAATTTATAAATCCTTTCTAGGTTATTTTTGTTCATTTACTATTCTGTATACATTCTGGAACTACCCTGTCCAATTTAGTGAAAACCCTGTTGGGATTCTGATGAAAAAAAAAAAAAAATATATATATATATATAGAGAGAGAGAGAGAGACTGATATCATTAATTGCCATGGGAGAAAACTGCCATCTTTGTGAATTTTTGAAAAAATTTTTTTGTAAGTCTACTTGGGGATTCTGTTTATTCATGATTTAATATTGGTAAATTGGTAGTTCATCTGTGTCTAGAAAGGTACTCCCAAAAGCATCTCCTAGTATTTTCTTCTGATTGTCTTCTGTTTGTAGTTATGTCTTTAATTCCTGATATCCTTAATTTGTGCCTGTTCTATTTCATAAATTTTTATTATTATTAAACAACAACAAAATTCAGCCTTTGGAAACTAAACTAAAAAGTCAATCCTCTGCCATTCTTTGCTTTCTTTTGAATTAAATATTGGCTCTATTCTTTCTAATTTTCTTTCTTCTAACATAAAGTGAAGAAAAAAGCAGAGTAATTGTTGAGTTGAATGGCTAATTTTCTTTCTTCATTTTGCTGTATACATTTAATTTCTCTCAAGTCACAGTCTTGCTGTACTTGCCAAAGTTTTAACACATACTGAGTAGCTGTCATTCAGTTTTAAATATTTTATAGTTTGCTATAATTTGGGGGGCATATTTAAAAGTTTTTTAAAAAATTTTAAACACATAGATTTATGTGTTTTGAACCCAGAGGTGCTCTGCCACTGAATTACATCCCTAGCTCTTGTATTTGAAAAAGACTATGTATTCTCAAATTTTATGTCTATTAGATTAAGATTATAATTCTATTTTAATCTTCTAACATTTAAAAATAACATGTAAGTAGAACAAAGGATACTAAAAGTAGCATAATCAATCTTACTAATTAACTGAAATATCTTTAAAGAATACCAACTAATGTTATCTGAAAGGCAAATAACATGGGTATGTCTACATGCACAAACAAACACATTTCTTTGTTCACTATAAATGCTCTTTACATTGCTCTTTGAAATAAAGTTCCAACTGTTAGTCATAACATTCTCAAGTATTGAAAAGGAGCCTCATACCTTTTGATTATAAAATTAGGTAGAGGTTTTAACAAGAAAGAGAGAGGGGGGAGGGAGGGAGGGAGGAAGGAAGGAAAGAAGTTCACATAATATTAAAAAAAAAAAAAAAGTAATTGGGTGGTCCCATGGCTGAACCATTTAGCAGAGCAGTCCTATTGCTAGGGTCACAGGCTGTGGCCCTGACACTCTGCTTCTTATGCATTCCCAGAGTGCGGGTATCTAATTAACAGCTTGGTTTTGACAGTCACACCTTTTATGGTTATATGTAATTCAAACATTTACATAATCATAAACAAAACCCAATGATCTATTAGGCCATTTTAATTCTTCTAAATCTACTACCCTTAAGATCTCTAACCTAAGTATGATAAATTCAACAGATATTTTCTATTGCGTTTCTAAAATTGTACAGAATAATCATCATCAATTGTTGGCTTTTATTTTTCTTAGATATAGTGACATTTTCCTTAACTGGTCAGTACATATTGTTGGGTGATTACTTAATGATTGTTTTGATTTCAACAGTATATTTAATTGTGTATTTTTTTCTTTTAAAAATTATGTGGAAAATATTAAAAGAAGACTAAATTTTCATGAATTTACCACTGGTATCAACAATAATTATCTTTCAGCAGTATATCTTTTTTTTCTCTTTCCACATTTTTAATTGGTACATTATAATTGTACATAATGATGGAATTTATTGTTACATATTCATACATGCACACAAAATAACAATATAATTTGGCCAATATCACTCCTTTGCACTTTCCCTGTCCCTCTTTTCCTTCCATTCTCTGATCCTTTCCCTCTACCGATCTCCCTTTGATTTTCAATATCTCCATCCAATATATGCTTCTTACAACAGTTCAATTAATGACTCAACTGGTATATGTTAAGTTCCACTTAGTGATATGAGATAAGTTTCTCTGAAATGTGATTTTCTATTGTAACATTTTTAGTGTAAAATTAATCAGTACAGTATACCTTCTTTATTAAGCTTTTTATGGTAACAAAGTTACCAAAACATGTAATTAAAGCCAAATGTTAGTGTTTATGAATTTTAAAGGTATTCTCTTAATCTATCTAGATCATATCTATAACCTCTAATAATTTCTTTTCCAAGAAGACTGTTTTCCCACTAATATGATAAGAAGCAAATAAAAAAATAAGATATAACATAGAAACTTTAATCTTGCAAATCATTTTAAGGTAAGTATCTATTAAAACTATATTAATAAATCCCAAAATAAAATAAAGGGGAGAATTTAATCTGAGATTGGGAAACAGACAGCTTAAAGAAAAACGAAAAGTTTTTGTTTTCCTTTCCTTTTTTCCTTAAAGAGAAATACATTTTGATGAAAACCAAGTTCAGAAAATAACCTATAGAGATACAACACTGATAAGTTGGAAAAATAAATCAGTATTGTGACCTGCATTTCTATGATAGCTTCCTTTCATCTTCCCTTGCCTCCTATTGTCCATTTCCACCCATACAGCCAGAGTGATCTTGTTAAAATCTTAGTCCGATCATGCTACCTCTTGGCTCAAAACCCTTCATTGGTTTCCTACCTAATTCAGAATAAGAAACACAACTCTTCAAACAGTATGCACAGGGGCTTTTCCTAATTTTGCAATCTCATGTCCTCTGTTCTCCTCCACACTCTGCTCCTTTAGCCATTGTAGCTCCTTGCATATTTTTTCAGGGTGTCAGGCATCCTCTTTCCTCATGGACCCTGGACCTGAAACACTCTTCCCCAGATGTTCACTCTCTGGCCTTCTACAAACCTGGACTCACACGTCAGTCTTTTCAATGTGGCTGTCTCTGACCACCTCTATAACTACAACTCTGCCACACTCCTGGAACTTTACCCTCTCTGCTCTGTTTTCATAGTATTTACTGCTACTGAAACACTGTATATTTTACTTGCATATTTATTTGTCTTCCATCTCCCCAAATAAAACTTGAGCTTTACAAGGGCAGAGGCTTTTGTATTTTTAATACTGCATTGCCAGCACTGAGATTTTACAATACAGCAGACACTAATTAAATAGCTGGTGAATTAATGGAAAAAACAAAACAAACAGCAGCAAAAAATTAAAAGCAGCCATAATGAGCAACTAATGTTTAGGAACATTTTAGTTACTCCTAAAGTAAAGAACAATTCACTAGTTTCTAGCTTATAATTAGTTTTTAAAAACCCTTAATTTATAAATGGGATTTTAAGCCTAAGATCCCTCCTGAATATATATTATATAGCGATATTACTTAATTATTTGAATATTAATTTTCTTATTTAGTGTTCTCCAAATGAAGCATTAATTTACTAATAAGTTCAATTGCCTCTATGCAGAATTATCAATGAGACATGTAAGAATCTAGGGAACTCTTTTTAGCTTAGAGAAAGCAAGTTTGTGAGACAGCCAAACCAAATAGAAATAAGAAAAGAAAGTCTTATGTATTTCAGTTTGTTTAAGCTGATATGCATTTGTACCAAGAGCCAGTTCCACTGGATGACAGATAACTCATAGGAACAGAATAGCATAGAGGACAATAAATATATATAAATACTAACAAACTGATGATGCTAAGAAAAATAGCATCAAATAAAACTAGCTAAATGTTAATGTACTTTTGAAAATAGAATTGAAAAACTCAACTAAAAAAGTTTTAAAATTTTTGTTTAAATTCCCTTCATTAAAAAAAATAATTCCAAAAATTTTTTTTTAAGTTTATGCTTCCCAAAATGATTCAACATATTTCAGTGCTAGACATCAGAATTTCTGCAAGATTTCCCACAAAACTACATGATTAAATGATGCCTTGGACATTTGCTCCTTACCGATTCAACTAATGATCTTGCTTTCTCTGGAGTGCAATGGAAAGGGCTACCACATACCTGCACGTTTGTGCTGAAGAAGAAAACAGGACATTATTATTAAACACGATAAAAAAGGCAAAATTATCCCAAAGAAAATGAACTTCAAATATTTCACATTGACTGTATAACTTCAGTCAATAAACAAGGAACTCAATGAATATAAAAGAGGACGACTAAAATTATTGTACATTTTTAAGGCAGTTACAAATATAGAATACTCCATAGCACGGCACTTTCCAGAACTTAAAAATACTTCAAAAAATGATATACAAAGCTTAACAATTTTCTGGAATGTATACAAAGTTATAATGAAACTCCATTTCAGCTTTATTAAAAGAATAATAAAATTTGACCCACAGAAGGGACTATAAGGAAAAAATCTTCCTCTAAGTGATAATATTATAATTGGATGTAACACCATAAAAATAAATACATTTATAAATGTAATATGACACATGAACCACTGTGCTAACCAAAATAAGCAGACATGACATTAGAACAAAGATTTGGTAATATAAAAAATGTTGTGTACAACAAACCCAAATTGCATTTTTGAAATAATACAATGAAATAGACAATTACTTGAAAAGAACAAACAGATATATAAAAGATAAAATTTATAGGGCCAGCAATCTCAAATCAAAAAGGCTCATACTCATGAGAATCCTCAAAGACAATGTGCAAGATATAGATTTGTCAAGGCTTTTCATTCTAAGGCATAATTAATTATGCTAACTGGAGAAAAGGGGGAAAAATCAAAGTGTAAGAAAGATAACGATTTTGGATCACAACCTCTAGAGTTTATAGAAGAAAGTGAGGTTGGGGTAAATGTATACAAAGCTAAATGGAGTTTTGGGTATATAAAAAGTAATTCCATAAATTAAATATATCTTCTTTCTAGCAAAGCAAAAAGAAACAAATTCAAGACCCAAATAATTTGGAAAATCTGAATATATATTCCTTTACTCAATAAGTATATTTAAACTACCTTCAGTAAGTCCTGTTACTATGTGCTAATAAATAATATAAACAAATAACACAACACTCCCTGTTGTACAGAGGCCTGTGGAGCAATGACGTGAGAAGAAATGAGGTGGCATCTGAACTGCTTCTTGAAGAGGGAGTAGATATTCATGGAGGAAAGTCAGAGGGGTAAGAGGGGACAGACCATGAGCCTGGAGAGGCAGATGTGGATACATTATTTAAAAAAAGAAGTGGATCAAATCCTACAATTGAAGGGAGTCACAAAAAGTTATTTTTTTAGTATCAAAATGACAGGTATATGTGTATTCTTGAAAGATAATTCTGGAAGTGATATATAAAATACATTAAATAGGAGAGTGGTTATTAATAAAAATATGAATATAGAAATTATGTCACTGAATTAAAGCAGTTTTATAACTAGAAGGGCATTCAAAAATGAGTAAGGTAGTTCAAGAAATTAAAAGACAATCATGGTTAAAAAAACAAAAACATATGAAACAGCCCCAAATAAGTGAAGGTCTAGAGATCAGGAAGGGTGGTGGTATGCATAGGAGTGGCAAAGCTGTTTTAAGTTTCTGACACATGAAATAGGAGGCAAGAAGTGGAGGAAAATAAAGACAGACAACTCAGTCAAATTATGGAAGCCTTGGTTGGCTTTTTAGAAGTTTAGATTTCATGCTTCTTAAGCAGAGAGCCTCATTAGAATCATGTGGGAACTTTTAAAATATATACCTGCTTAAAGGCCACCCCTTAGATGTCCTAGTATATCAAGTTTAGAGAAGGGACCCTGCAAATAAATTTTTAACAATTTGCAAGATATTTCTGAGGCATTGTATGTAATACTGATGGAGGGAATGGCTGTGAGAAATAATGTGGACCTAAACTGAACTGATTGGGAAAAACACTAAAAAAGGAAGAAAAAGGAGGACTTCTTAGTTAACAATAGAATATTATATGAAATTAAAAGAGAAGCAATTCATTAAACAGAGGCAAAAGAAACAATTCTGAGTATATTTTAGAAATTAAGTAATTAAGGTTAAGAAAAAATGAGTAAAAATGAGTTAAGATTCTGAAGATTTTAATTTATCTATATGCTTATGATTTATATGCTAAAAATTCTTAAGCTAAAAAATGACTGTTTTATTGTAAAAAACTGTAGAAGAGGCAACAGAATATAGCTAGTTTGGATATGACTGTCCCCAAGGACCATGCACTGGAAGCTTGTCTCCAGGGTGTTGTGGTGGTGGAACCTTTAAAGGGTGGGGTTTAGTGGGAGGTGACTGGGTCCTGACTGTCCCCTTGAAGGGATTAAGGCTGGTCTCACAGGAGTGGGTCACTTCCCACCAGAGTGGGTTGCTATAAAAGATAGAGCTTAGGCCAAGCCTCTTGCTTCTCTTCCCACACATGATGCCATCTGCCACAAGGCCATCATCAGAGCCAAACAGATGCTGGTGCCATGTTCTCAAACCTCAAAAACTGCAAACTAAATAAACCTCTTTTCTTTACATGATACCCAGACTATTCAGACTACATACAACACTGAGGTTCTAAAAAGCATCAATAAAGCTAAATTGCTAGATGTGAAATTAGGTGTGGGTAACACAACTGTAAAAGTCTGGAAAAGAAAACACTAAAAATGTGCAAGGTCTTTTAAGTTGTAAGGAGCTTAAGGATTACAGGATCTTTATTTTTCTATTATATATTATGTTAAAATACGTGGAGAAAATCTACATGAGATCTATATAGAAAGAAAAGGTCTTAGCCCTACATCCAAAGATTGGTGAATAAACATACTTAAATGTCTTAAGTTAAAATAAAATGTTGGAGTACTGTATGTTACTACTATTTGATTCCTCTTAATAAATCAGCTAATGACCCAGATCATGTTGGATGAGAAAGTTTTTACTATTCTTATCAAGATATGATGAGGTAGTGGTATTTATTACATATTCTAATCATGTGTTTTCATGTGAAAATACTGTTTTTACTTCATCTTTGCACATATCACAATGTACTGCAATTTAATGCTTATTTACTTGTCATTGTCTCCTACTAAAATACAAATCCCTAAGGTAAATGTCAATTCATAGCTTCACAGTGCCCAATTCTCAGTACTGCACACTGAACAGGTGCTTCCTAAGTATTTTATAAACAAAAAAATAATTGGAACACCTTTTTAAAAAAATCTGGTATCTGAGCAGTATTAGATGGCTATTTAGTACCAATTAAAGATAAAATAACATTACACACATAGAAAAGACAAATTCTTACCAATTTATAGCCCCTCTATCACATTTCTTCATAAGCATTGCTTTCCAACATTCATGAGTAGATTTAATAATTTCAAGGGCAAAAGCCTAGTTTCAACAAAATAAGACACAGTGATCACAATGTTACTCTAACACAGAACTGTTAAGAGCAGGCAATCTTGAGTATAAATTTCAGCTTCTTTATTTAGTAGCTGTGTGACTTTGGGCGGGTATTTAATCTCATGAAACCTCAACTTCCTCATCTCTAAAATGGGACACAATGGGAATAATCTGTCAGGGGTCTGGGGTCAAATTTGCCTGTCACCTCTTGTTGGCCTATGGCTGCTTTAGTGCTACAATGGCAGAGCTGAGCAGTTGTGATGAAACCATAAAGTCTGTAGAGCCAAACATATTTACTATCTGACCTCACCAGATAGAGCCTGCCAATCCCTTATCTAAAGCTAAGAGTTGCTAAAAGAATAAATAAGATGTTGTATGTAAGGGCTTACCTTAGAACCTAATTTGTAAGTAAGCATGCACCCACTTATTTTATCATTACAATAACTGCAAAGTCTAATTGTAAAGTAATTTTGGATTATGCACCATCTGAAAGTTGTAAACCTCCTTAACATTTTCCCCAATTTTTCTAGTGATAAGTCATAATATGTTTGAAAGTGCATGATCAATAAGAGGTACACTTCTAGGGGCTGGGATTGTGGCTCAGTGGTACAGCGCTCGCCTAACATGGGCGGAGCCCTGGGTTCGATTCTCAGCAACACATAAAAATAAATAGATAAACGTACTGTGTCCAACTACAACAAAAACAAGTAAATATTTTTTTAAAAAAGAGAGAGATACACTTGTTAGATATACATGTAATGTGTTTATCTAAGGAAAATCTGCTTATTCCAAGGCAGAAAATTCTTCCAATGTTTTTGCTCAAAATGTTGTTTCTTTAAGGATAGTCCTTAATTATTAACTAATTCGTTATCAGCTTTTTTCTCCTTCAGTGACAACTAAATATATTATGATAAGAAAGAATAAAGACTCTTGGGTTCTGAGATATAGTGATAATGGGAAATTTAACCTCTCAGGTCTACTATTGGCCAAGATGAAGGAGAATGGCTTAATTCTCAAGGAAGTGGTACTGGGGAATCCTGCTTAAGACATGGACAAGATATGCAATTTATCATTTGGATAATGCAAGAAAAGGTTTTTAGCCTAATTATTCAGATAATTGTGACAATTTAGAACCAATTCCAGTACTTGCTTAAAGGAGTAGTCAGGAAAACCCTAGAATTAAAAAAAGGGAAGCCATCTTTTACAACCATGTCAAAGAGAAACAATTAAGTTTGCCTCCATATCTTAAATAGCAGTGGTAAAAAGCAATGCATATAATGCTTATTTTCTGGAAAAAATTAAAAATGACCTAATCTTCATACAGGAAGAACTAATGTTTGTCCGAAGCAAACAAAACACAAAAGACATCTCACTCACTACAAATTCATGACTTGGTAGATATACCTGGAGGCAATAAAAGATCATGAAAGTACCACATAGAATTGAAATTTATTTTATTTCAAACATAAAATGCAACATATATTCTGAGGAAAAAGATAAGAATAATGTTTTAATATTTAACTTTTAAGAAAATCTAGGCTAAAATAATAGTTTTATGTTTATATTTACTAATCTTAAATAAAGCCCTCAATATATTAAGGGTACTGGGTTCAGCAATCAATTCTGGTATGACGAAATACAGTAAATTTTTGGTTTTCATTAACATGCCTTATTTTACTTGCAAGACAAGCTTTACTCATTAAAGTATGTTTCACTTAGAGGTTGGTTTAGAATATGCAATTTACTTAGTGGTAATAACTTTAAAAAAATATCCTACACTTTAACTCCTTGGCCTGTTCTCTGCATTTGTGTCAAATTAGAGATACTTTATGGTAACTCTGTGTTACTCTAATAGAAAAGTCTTATGATAATAGGACAACTCAAATGCAGTTGTTAAGCAGTTTAATACAGTCACCGTAGAATGAACCCTTAAGAGGGAAGACCCTATGCATTTACATTAAGGGTAAGTAATTTTCTCCCTCTCAAAATAGTAAATGGAGGGTTTTTCTTCATATACAATTTGCAAAGATAGTTACTGATTGTGGAATTCCTTTATGTTCTGAGAAGATAAAGGAGCTATATACATAGATGATGGAAACGGATATTTTTCAGCATTGTTGATTCACTAGAATCTCCTGAAAAACATTTTTTAAATGATAAGATAATGTCCTTAAAGATATGAGTCATTAAAATGCACTTTTGTGTGAGCAATGTATAAAGATTCACATAAGAAATAGTCCAAGAGAAATAAGTACTGTACAAGCACCAGGAGGCACATATTACAATTCAGATTCTCATTTTCACCTTGTTTTTGAATTCTCCATTAAAAGCAAACTTATTTTCTGGTTTTCCCTCTGGCACCTTATAATATGTCAACCAATTAATAGTAGCTTCCAGATAACCTGGTTTGAACTTCCTAACATCATCAATATCTGTAAGGGAAAAAACAAAAAGACATTTTGTTAAAAAAAACAAAATTCATTTCATTTAGTAGCAGAGCACTGGACTGAGGGGGCCAGGACACAAGGGTCCGAGTCCAACTAGTATCATAATTAATTATGCTAACTGGAGGTGTAATGGTTGACATATATCATATCCTATCCCCTCTAGACATCTATTTTCACATGCAAACTAGTAGTCCTTTGATCTACATTTACTGAGTATCTTCACATGATGTGGTAGGCACAGGGAATAAGAAGATGAATACAATAATCGTTTTGTCAAGATGCTCAGAGGTCTAGTTACAAGAAACAGACAACAGCAGCAATAAAGGGAAATGAGGTTTTGATGGAGATATACATAGGAATGGTGACCTCCTAAAAGAGGGAGTGAAAGAGCATCATGGAAGTGGGAGGCACAGAAAAAATCAGACAAAAGGGGGAAAGTGGAAAGAACAGCACCCGTCAAAGTGAGGGAACATATTTCAGAAAATTCAAGCACAGCTGGCTCCGTGAGATTAGGATGTGGATCTTAGGAGGAGCAGAGAAGAAGGATATACCCAGGAAGGGCCGGGCCACTGAAGAACATAAGTTAAGGGAAAGATTTCATTTTATAGACAATGCAGGATTTAAACTAGGGAAATCACAACATCAGGGTCAGTGTTTAAGAAATGTTAGACTAAAAGAATACTGAACACACAATGAGGAGGGCAGCACCCACAAGAGAACACACTGAAGGTGGATGATGAGGGTTTCACACATTTTTACCCAAATATTTCATAATGTGTCAAACCTGTTTGAAGCAGTAAGACAGATTCATAAACAAAAACATGCCCCTGTTGTCATGGCTTATATAATAGGAAGAGAAAGACAACAAATAAACAAATACACAATATGTCCAATGGTGAATAATCCCATAGAGAAAAATAAATAACCCTGCAATTTTAAAGAGTGGTATCTGAATGATACATAGAATTTTAAATTTGAATTTTGTAATGATTTTCAGTAGTCACTTTGAAGTTCTATTATCACAGAAATAGCTTAACCCCAACCTGTTTTGATGACATTCACTGGAATATAGCTGGAGATACAATTACTGTGTTAATACTAAAAAATTCCACCTCCAAAGAAATCCCTAGGGAAGGTATACTTTCCAGTAAATAATAATTCAAAAAGTGTAACAAATAAACACTTTGCCTCAGACATGGCATAATGGACACTTAGCATAGTACTTTTATGCAGAATATATTATAGCAATTAACAAATAAATTTGGTAGCACTTGAAAAATTAGAAAGTTAAAACTAAAATCAAGAAGATCATATCATACATTGGGAAAATGCAAAGACACTTGGTTTCAGACTTGGCCATTCAATTCTTTCAGGAATTTCCACACTGTAGGCTTGACAAGGAAAAGGCAAGAATTTTGCAGCCACTGGTTAAACAGAAAGAATTAATCTTTTGCTTTTTTACACTTGGCCTCCTGCCTGTTATACAAGTTTGATATGCCTAAAAGTATTCAAACTAAAATTTAAAATGATATCAATGGCCACAAATCTATCTAAAACAATTTTTGAACAAAAGGCAGTAATGCTATAATTAACCAAGGTGTGGGGAAGAAATCATTTGAAATTTAACACAGGCCACATATGCTTTATTAATCAGTCAACACATCTTGAGTAATCAGTAAGTGATGGAGATAGTCTTTTTTTTTTTTTTTTTTGTACTGGGGATTGAACCCAGGTTACTTTACCACTGAGCCACATCCCCAGACCTTTTTATTTTTTATTTTAAGACAAGGTCTTGCTAAGTTACCAAGGCTGGTCTCAAACTTATGATCCTCTTGCCTCAGCCTCCCGAGTTGTTTGGTTATAGATGTGCAAGATATTATTTTTTAAAGATTAAGATCACTTCCTCAGTATTATGTATTGTATACTGAGTCACATAATTCTTTGTCAAGCCCCAAATTAGAACATTCAATAAATATTTCACCTAATCTACTGTTGTTCCCCCTTCAAATTCTGATTTTTTTTCCTGCCAATTGTATTGAATTCTAAGGTGATTTTTCTATTGATCATGTTCTTACTTCCTACTTCTATTTTTAAAAAACATTTCTGAAAATTGTTTTTTCAACTCACGATTTTTTTTTTCAGAGGAAAACATCTTTTATTCCAGTGAAGTTGAAAGAAATGCATATTATATCAGTATCCAAACTAAAATAATTTTCTATTATTTACATCTAGTTATGATTTCACCATTGTACCTTAATCTATCATTTTCTGTTCCCATTCATCTCATTTGATTATTGCTAGTTAATTTGCTGACTTCAAATAAAAAAACAGAAAGACTATCTATCTCAGTCTAGGGGTCTTTTCCCTCAAAAGTTATGAAGAGAACCAGTTAACACATAAATAATTTAAAAAATCAAACATTTAATAATGCCAATAAAAAGTATAATTCTATAAATACAAGATGAACTTTTCGATTCTCAAAAACAGCTGCATTTTCACAAACAACTCAAAACAAAGAAAAAAATTAACATTCAACATTTAAAAATCTTCAATAGCAAATACCTGAAGCCAAATTCTTATATCCAATATTAACAAAGTCAATTCCATGAGCTATGAAAAATTGTGCCTGAAGCTTAAAGATTGTACTGACATTATAGAGGCATGCATATTAAATATAAAGACTCTACAGCTAAGGTAGCTTAAAAGGTTTACCAAAATTAACTCAACTCATTCATGGCAGAAGCAGTATTATATAAATGTCTTCTAATTCCATAACTTCTACTTTTTCTCATATATACATAGTAACATTATCCAAAGGTTCTTTAATTGTGGTAAAATACACATAGTATAAAATTTGCCAATTTAATCATGTTTAAGAGTATCACTCAGTGGGATTATGTATTATTTATGATTTTGTGAAAACATGATCAATATCCATTTGCAAAACCTTTCTGTTTAATATATTTTTACAAATATTTTATTATAATAAAAGTAATAATTCTCTAGCAGTCATTTATTACCACTCTTCGAATTTTACGTGAAAGTTTCTATCATAGATAATTACATCAAGATGAACTAATCTAAAAAAGCTAGAAGAATCTGGAAGGAGCTCTTTTATATAATCTAGCCAAATTTCAGTTTTTGTTTTGTATTACCAATCAAGCTCTAGTTTTGTGTAAACTGTCGTCTAGAAAGAAGCCCACACTTCTGCTTTTATCAGTTAAATTTTAGCTTTACCACATATCAGGTATGTTTATTCCCAAAGTATTTCTGTCAACTCTACTTTTTGTTATAATCATGTATCTATTGTCATAATTGTGAAATTCAACTATATATTATATATGCCAGTATATAATATTATATATTATATATCAATACAAAAAAGAGCTTTCATTTTTGTGAAATTAATTTGAATGTTTTGAATCAATAAAACTGCTAAAAATATCTGTTGTCAAATTAGACCTGGGTAAGAAAAATAGTTAAAGCTAGAGGGAAAAAAAAAATCTATAAGACACATAGACAGCCTGCTTTACAATTGGGGTGGGAAGAGGATTTTAGACAAGAGTGGTCAGGACAGTGTCTGATAAGACATATTTTATCAGAGTCTTGGACAAAGTGTGGGAGGCAACTCATTCAAGTTTCTGGAAGCAGTGTATTCCAGAGATGAAGATTGTAAATGCAAATATCCTGAGGTAAAAGTGAGCTTTTAATATTTGAGGAACAGAAGAGGAAAGACTATGGTTAGGGCAGAGTGAGAAAGAGAAGTGTGAAGAGATGAGATTGGAGAAGCAGACACTAGCCAGTCACGCACATCTGGGCCACCCGAGGACTCTGGCTTTTACTCGGGGATGGTGTTGGGCAGAGGAGTACATGTTTTAGACAGAGCTCTCCAATTGCCATGTGTAGAAAGGACAGCACTGTATAGAGTAAGTAGGGAAGGAGGGCTCTAGTGAGAGCTATCGAGAGCATCTACAACTGCTGAACTCTGATGAGGCATGCCAAGGGATGCAGGGTGGAGCAGGGATAAATTGTCAGATCTGAGGTATTTTTTAGAAAGCAGAACTGAGAGGAATCACCAATGGAAGAAAAATGCTTTATATCAGTCAAGATCAGACTCTTACATAAGATTCAAAGTATCAAAAGAGCTGAAAAGAACAAGTCTGTAATATCTAGAAAAAGTAAAGCAGTTAGTCACCAAAACACATATCACCTTGGTTTCTTTTTTTTTTTTAAAGGCTCCATAAAAAGTGTCCTAACTTCTGATTAATAATGTGCAGTGGTGACTTACTTTTTAAAACAGAGCTGTTTCCATATTTGAAAGTTTAATTAACAAAGATTATAAGATCATTAAGAATTTTCATATTAAAACAATAAAAGAATGTTTTATAAATAATCGTAGTTCTATATAAACCCATTTGGAAAAAAAATAAAATAAACCCACTGGAAATTTTGGAAATTTCTTTAATTTAAATTCATATTTCTACAAAAATGAATAATTAAAAATACCTTATTCAAAACCCACCATTCTATTTCTGTAGATGACAGAAACGTAACACTTTTATTTTTTTTAAAAATCAGCCTCTATGACATCTTTTTCCTTCACTAGGAATTTGGTATATCTTTTATAAAATCAAATTTCCTTTCAGTGTAAATCAATACACTTGTTCCACAAATTATAATCTACTAATCAAACAAACAAAAATAAAACCCTACAAAAAGTATTTTGTAAATTAGAAAATTCTTTCTATTTTTTTAATCTAAAAATATATTCTCACACCAGAGGGAGTTTCTAATCACATTTATTTGCCGAGACTTCAATATTGCCCAAACTTCAGAATTATTTAAGACAACACTGTTTTTCCCAAATAAGCAAATAACAATGATATAAATAACTTGGAAAGTCAAATTAAAAAGGTACATTTTATCAACACAGCCCATGAATAGTATATATTAGAGAAATCTAAAGTATGATATCTATTTAACCTAGAGATTTATTAAAGTACAATGAACTTTAAAAAAGATTATTTACTAAAAATGAAAAAAAAAATCAAGAAAATTTAAACATGAAAAAATACAACAACACATTCTGTAAGCACAGTAAATATAAAGATCAATAATAAAATAAGTAAGCAAAAAGAAAAAAGTCTTTTTAAATAAAACTTTCTGATCCAAAAGCAAATCAAGACTAAAATTAGCAGAAAATAATGACAATGAGTATACTGCAGAAATTTGTAAGAGCTAAGGTAAGCCAGAACAAAAAAGATTGGAATTAGCACGATGTTCAAATTTCAGTTCTGGTACTCACATATTGTGCCATGTTGTAAAGTATATTATTTCTTCAAATCCAAATCAAATGAGAAAAAAAAATCAAGATCACCATGATTAAATAATAGAAAAAAATCATCTAATAAAAAATAAGAGATTAATTCTTAAAAGAATTATCATCTCTCCTATGTCCTAAAACCTTTTTAATGAATAACTCCTTACAAACCAATGATTTAGAAAAATAGTCCACATTTTCACTAAAGGTTACTTTATTTCTTTTTTTTTTTTTTTTGTTACTTTATTTCTAATATGTATAATGGCCCTGAAAAATCACTGTAGCTAGGAATTGATATAAACACTAAAAATAACATACATAAAAGGCATCTGCACATATATATACACAGACACACACATGCATACAATTTTCCAACAACAGTTGAAACTATGGCATACCATACAACAGAATAATTCAGCAACACAGGGAACAAATCACTCTAATAGATGTGGCTACATGCATGCTCTCCAAAGCATGCAAGAACAAGAATTCATACAACCAAGACCATGTTTCACATGCCAAAGTCCTCACTAATAGATCACTGACACCATACACTAGGAAAATCACTGCAGCAGAGACCTGTGTTGGCTACGGACTTAGGGGAGGAGAAAGGGATTGACTCCATGGGGTATGTGGGAATTTGCAGGGTACTGAAAATGTTCTGTATTATGACTGATAGCTGTTAGACAAGTATATGTAGTTGTCAAAATTCCTTGAATTATGTACTTAAAATGAAGTGAATCTGTATGTAAATTTAATAAAGCTGAATAAAGTAAAAAAGGGTAAATGAGAGATAGTCCCAGAACAGAAAGAGTTCACAATCTAGAGAGATGGGCAGACATAGAAACAAGCAAATCACAAATATGTGAAATCAGACATTTTATAGAATTAAACAAAATGATGTGGGAGGGTAAAAAAAAAAAGGAGTTGGTAACTAGCCAACTATCTTCATCTTATAGAATCAGAAAACATGTCACTGAGACAATGACATTTAGACTGATTCTTAAAAGATGAGCAGGTGTTTCCAAGTAGACAAAGAGTATTTCTGAGAGGCAGAAATGCAGGCAAATCCACTGAGCTGCAAAGAGGCTGGCATATCTGAGGGGGGAGAGAAGCTTGGTGTGTTTTGAACTTTAATAAATAGTAAATAAGCGAATGTCTAAAAAAATAGGTGGGAGGAGATCACCATAAGGCTTTTACCAAGTTAGAAAATGTGGATTTTTCTGTACAGAGTGAGGGGTCAGGAGGTTTTCTACTTTCCTTTAAGGTAAGATAAGTTTTCTTTAAAATCAGGTAAGTGTAATAAATAGTGTGGAATATAAATTGTAGTGGCAGGAGGCTGGGAGCAGAGCAATGTTAACATTGTTTCAATGAAAAAACAAGATACAATAATTAAAGGCAATGGTAAGGAAAGGATAGATTTGAAAAATATTTCTGAGGTCAAATCAGGAAGTATTGGTGACAGATTGTAAGATGTATTGGACTGTGAGTTAATTAGAAAAATCAGTCTTGGTTTAAACATCTCTGGTTTATCAATGCACATGTATTCATCATTTCCAAAAAATTTATTGAGCATCTATATCATACCAGGCAATATATGGAATTACCCAGGGAACATTATCAAATTGTAAAACTCACATCTCTAACCTTACCATACATATCCACAAATAGAGGACAGAGATCAGAAAACAACAAAACAAAAACATTAAAATGCTACTCTTATCTGAAGTGTTTCCATCAAACTAAAATACAAAGTAAGGAAAGTATATAGTCAGGAGGTATTTTTTTTTCTATTTTTAGATAAAAATCAATAACAGAAATTTAACACCATATCTCTGTCCTTGTTATTCAAAAGAAAGCCAGGCAGGTTGGTACACACACCTGTTAATCCAGCAACCAGCGGGGCTGAGGCAGAAGAATCCCAGTTGAGGTCCATCTCTGTAATTTAGCAAAATCCCATCTCAAAATTAAAAAAAGAAAGAAAGAAAGAAAGAAAAACAAAAAAGGCCTAATGCTAATATTTTGTCCAAAGGGGATAAAAAAGAAGAAAAAATAATACATTTGAACAAGGAACTTATAATTCGATGGGATTTTACCAAAGAAAATGATGCCACAATCATTTGCACAAAACTCTCTTTCAGTACTCTATGTGCTGCTCTCACAGAGCTAAACGTGTATAACTAAACAAAACCTGTGGGAGGCAAGAACATGTGTTTCTAATGTCTTCTTACAAATATTCACAAGAAACAACAGTTTCATTCCACACACACACTGTATCTTCTACACAACAAGTAGAGCTTCCTGCTCAGAGAACTAATTTTCTTAATGGTTTGTGCTTACTTAGGATCTCTAAAGACTTTCATGTTTTCCAGACTGTTCTGCATGTCCATGTGTAACATATGTAGGCTAGTGAACATTATCCTCATTGTGCTTGCCCTTTTCTTCTCTGTTCTCCTTTTCTGCAAATTCTACTTTCATGAAGTCAAAGATGTACATTAACCTCATGAAAAAAAAAATAGTAGAAATTAACACACTTCAAAATAAGTATTATCAAACAAGGTCATACTATCTATAGGTCCATATTTATTGAATTAGTAAACAATTCTTAGGAAAGGCTTGGTAAATTTCCAACAATAAATATTCATATTACCAGTGTATAAGAAGTTTCTCATGGCCAATGAAATGTGCACAGAAGAAATTAAAACATTTTTCTAACCTAATTTTGATTTAAAGCATATAGTAAAGTGGCTAAAAGCACAGGCTTTGGGTCAGAGAGACCTCCATTGAACTTCCAGCTACCCTAAAGCACTCAAAAAAATGTGCCAATGTCCCCAAGAAATCAATGTCACAATCCTTTAAACAATTATTTTGACAATTTATGCATGCACAGAAATATCACAGTGAATCTTATTAATCTGGACAATTAGTATGTGTTCATAATAAAAAATAAATTGTTCCCTTTAGCATTAACTTTGAAGATAATTTAGGTCTTTCTAATTATACAGGAAAACAGACTAAAAATAATGGTTTAAAAGTACTTCCTATAACAAAAACTCAGATGGGGAAAATCCTAGGGACCATTTACTAATTAGAGGACCCTCCCTGCAACTTTATCAATAAAGAAACCCAGGCTTAGGAAGGTTATGTGACTTCTCCTAGGTCAGATAATGAACAAACAAAGGGCAGAATCTTAGAATTTAAGCCTCCCCATACTTCGTCACATCACAGGAGCCTGACTAAAACCTAAAAAACCTGTGAAGAGGTTAAGGTTCATTAAAGAGGCAAAAAAACTCCCAGTAATTTACCTGTTAATTACAGTGCATTTAACTGGAGCATGTTCTTGTTCTTCAACTGCCTCCTCCCACCCATCCCTAATACTCATGCCTCTTAAGGCACACCTATTAATGAAATCAAAGGGATAAAGATCAGAAGAGCTACATTTTACTTTTTAAACTGGACCTCTAATTATCATTATCTTACTGATGCTTAATTAAGAGAAAATGGTCAGTATTCCCAGAGAACAAAAATACAATTGATCATCCCAGAATTTTTTTAGAAGAGCAATGCAATGTGACAATGAGGAACACGGGGTCTGGATTTGAAGGGTTGATGTTATGTGAGACAAGTTATTAGCATCCACTCCCCTGGTACCTCAGTTTCCTTAACTGAAAAAAAAATGGGACCTGCATATCTTGATTGAAGTTGTATGATGATTAAATGGATAATTTCAAAAGAACCCCTGGCATAGTTCCCAGGCACATACTTAATGCTCCACAAAGCTGGTGCTATTTGGATGACCACAGTGATTTGCTACTCTCTTCCAAACCAGAGAGTATATTTCACTGTCTTCTAACATGTTCAGGAAAGCAATCTGAACCCTCCTCCTTCTGCTATCAAAGGTTAATATGAATATTTCCCCTTAAGATAACTATGCTATTCCTTCTTTTTTTCTCCTTTCTTAGATGACAGTATTAAATTATGTTCTAGGAAGAAAAAAATCAAATACCATGATTATTTGCTTATTTAAAAAAATAATTGCAAGGGCACCATAAGTGTTTATTAGTAAATGAAAATTTAAGTTAAGTAGATTCATTTTCTATATGTTTATTCCTGCCCTGAAAGTCAATAAAATGAATTAAATAGTTTTATTTGACTTTTAAATTACCTTAAACATACATTGAAATTCAACATATATGAAATGCATAAAAACTGATAACTTCAGGATTAGTTTGATGCTGGCCTTTGGAAAATTCCCAAATGCCTAATTTAAAATAATCCCTTAAATAGTCTTATAATTTATTCATCCAGAATATATCTACATCAATGTAACTTTTTTTTTTTTAAATTTTAACTTTTGTTTCTTAATTTTCTCTTTTTAAAACTGTAAAATTATTGTACAGGTAACAGTTTCTGCAGGACAAAAGACAATGGTTTTCATTTATTTAAAGACCAGATAAAAGAATTCTCTCTTGCTCTACATGTTGAAATGGTTTCTAGACCTAAATTACCTCTCTCTCCTGAAGTTCTGAAGAGGCTCAAACATCTGTCAAGTCAATTTTTGAAGCTCTATATTACAGAAGGTTAATTTAACCAAGAGAAAAATGACACAAGCCCCAGCATTTCAATCTTAAAAAACTCTCAACTTGGTTACTTCATAACCAAGTGGTATTATCTCTAATGGCCAAGGCATTCTCCAGTAACAATTTCGGTGCCCTGGGAGTCTTATTAACTCTTTCAGGCCATTAAGGTACCATTAAGAGCACTAGGGCCTGGAACCTAGTTACAGTGTATTAAATGGTCTCTGTGCTCTCCGAGTGTTAAATGAGCCTGCCAAAGTGACCAATTTTCTCAGAGAGTATAAGGAATTTGGTTTCAAATGTTATTTTGACTTTTTAAAGATTTTCACAGAGTCTATTCCAGTTTCAGAAGGTAAAACATGAATAATACAATATTAATGTTAAAATTACAGAAATACAGTCAGAAACAAGTTTTTACTAATTGAAATATGCTCTGATACAATGGCTAGTTTTAATTCAGTTATGCTCAAGTTAAACACCATATATTTTAAAACAGGACAGTTCTACCAAAGTCTGCACATATCACACACGTTCATTAGGATCAAAGAAGTTATTTCATCACACACCCATACACACATACACACAAAATGAAAAAATTCTGACACTTTTTTTAAGAATCACAACTTAAATGTGTCAATATTAATACTGTTTAAGAAAAACCATACACACACGCACATATAAAAAAGGATACATTATGTATAAACTGGATTTCTTAACTTTCCATAGAAGAAAAATTTATACTAGCCATGCCAAATAATAGTTTCTTTTTTAAGGGTACTATAAATATTTAAAATTTCTAAATAGCAATAAAATATATAGAAAAATTTTCTAAATTCCTATATTATACACATGCTCAGAAAATGATAGAATTTTTTAAAAAAGCTTCCAGATGGCTACCCTTCCTCCATTTTTTTTTTTTTTGAGAGAGAGAGAGAGAGAGAGAGAGAGAATTTTTTAAAATATTTATTTTTTAGTTTTCGGTGGACACAACATCTTTATTTTATTTTTATGTGGTGCTGAGGATCGAACCCAGGGCCTCACACATGCTACGCAAACACTCTATACCACTGAGCCACAACCCCAGCACCCCCTACCTCCATTTTTAATTTTTCCTTTTATTTATCTGTCTACCCAAAATGCCATGAATGACAAGTGTTTTAACTCATAATCTTCTGTACAATTTTTCTGTAAAAACTTTTGGAAAATGTACACCACCAACATGAAAAAGAAAGATTAAAAAAAAAAAAAAGGACAGAATCTAAGAGGGAGTAGAAGTCACCCAGGAAAGCAATGGAAAGAAACCCCAAGATAATTACCCAGCAGATTCAGAAGAGTCTGTCCAAATTTGATGATTTAACAGATGGTATGATAATCTTTATGACTAATATTTACAGAATGATGCTATACATGATGTTAGTTTTTAATTTTCATATTCAACCATGAAACACAACACGAAAAACAGTTATACTTAAAGAGCATAACTTGAACATTATAAATTCATTTTTTTTCTTATTGTACTGGGGATTAAACCTTAGGCCTCATACGTGCTAGGCAAGCATTCTACCACTGAGCTAGATCCCCAAACATTATAACTCTTGACACGTAGAAAAAGAAGTGCAGCTGAGAGAAGTTGGGTCATAAGGGGCAGAGAAGAAAACTACATCTTTCTAGTCATTTCTGAAGTTTTATATTATATAAGGTAGTTGATTTAACCATGAGAAAAATATACAAATGAAATCTCAATGTCCTAAGTTCTATACTGCAAAAATCAAGAGTTACTGTTTGTGGTCACTGAACAATAAATACAGCTTGAAGTATAATACTTAGAATTACTAGGATAATAGAGGAAATATGATAACACAATTGAGAAATGTTCAAGAAGTTAAATTCCATGTCTTTTCATAGTAGCAACTAGAGTCAATAAAAAAAATACATGAAAAAATGGGGGGAAAGGAAAATATATGGATTAAGAAATAGAGGTATAAACACACTGTTTACAAAATAGAAGCAAACACTCAAAAGAACTATGAACATATGGAGAAAAAAGAAGATGAAGTAGGAGATAGGAAGAAAGGAGAGAAGAAAGAAAAAGAGGGAAGAAGGAAGAGAATGACAGGGAATAAGAGACAGAGAGGACCTTTTCTATAAGGGTAATCAGAATATATTTGCTTAGTGAAAAATATCATGTGTCTGCCTACATCTTTTGCTCTCTCTTTATGATACTATTCAGACAAAAAACATATTGAATTGCCCTTTACATTCCATGAAAAGAGAATAAAACACCAAATATATAACTCCCAAATACATAAACTGTATTTTATCTGAGTCCTAAGAATTCCAATGACATTAAGTTCTAAGAATATCAATGACATACTCATTTATTTCATTTTCTGACAAGTTTTAGACTTACCATGAAACTTTGAAGCTTCAGGATCATTCGCATTGATAGCAATTAATTTCCAATCTGTTTCACCTTCATCAATAAGAGCCAAAATTCCAAGGATCTTCACATGAATAACCTCTCCAGGAGATAGAACCTTCAAATGGAAAAGAAACTCAACATTTACAAAACTTTGGAGAATTTATCCATATCAGAAAAAGCATAGGAAATATTAAAAGCACTATAGACTGAAATTTTAAAAAAAATTTCAATAACTAAAAATAACGTAAAAATCATCATATAGCCAGCCTATCTTATAAAGTCCTAAAAGTTAGAACTATGTATCTCAAAACTTTCACTTCCACCCATGATGGAATTATGTGTTAAAAACAAAACAAACCTATCCTCTCAGAAAACTGGACAAAATATACAAAATCACTCCTTCTCAGACACTGAGCAACAGGCAGTGCAGGACTGTGACCCCAGAGTGAAGTAAACAAACCAGAAGAGGCCTGTGGCTGCCCTGGTTTTCTGCTCAACACACTCTTCAGACCGTGTGTGTGTGTGTGTGTGTGTGTGCGTGTGTGTGTGTATAAATAAACCAAGGAAGATGAGTCTGCTGGAATTTGTGGGGCACAGTACTGGAGATGACAATGACCTTCAGAAATCAGAGGGAATCCTTTGAGACAGCTGTAATACTAGCTGTGTATGAAGGAGTTGAGACTCCATGAGACCAATAACTTCCAGAGAACTATATAAGCAGGAGTTCAATGCCCAAGAAAAATGTGTTCAGCATGAGCAACATTCACTAGGGGGGGTCCAGAGGCAAGCTTTAATGATAGAGCTAAACTAGCTCTCCAGTAAAGGTTACTCTAGACCTGACCTAAGAAAGTTGGGTTTTGTTTTTTTCTAAATACCCAGAAACAATCAAAATGGTCCATAAGCAAACCACCTGCCAAAACAAATATTCTTTAAAGACAAACAAAATCCATTCAATAACATAACAGTCAAAACAGCCAAAATTCTGCCTATGATTAGGAAAAAGTAAGAACTAAACAGGGGGGAAAAAAATCACCTGACAGAAATCAATCAAGACGTGACAAATGATGCAATTGTCGAACAGAAACTTTAAAACAACTGTTGTAAAAATGCTCATGGAGTCAAAGAAAAATATGAAAATGTGAAGTTGAGGAATGGAAAATATAAAAAAAAGGCAAACTCTACCTTAGAGCAGAAAAAAATATATTATCTGAAATGAAAAATCCTCTAGATGTGTTTAACAACAAAACAAACATTATAAAAGGAGAAAGTTAAAAGGTGTGGGAACAGAAACTTTCCAAAGTGAAGCTCAAGGACAAAAAGGCTAAGAAGAAATTAATTATGTCAATGACCTGCGGGACAACATCAAGCATACTCCCTTATGTATAATTGGAATCCTAGAATAAGAAAGAAGCAGAAAAATATTTGAAGAAAAATGTCCAAAAAGCCCCCCAAATTGGTATAAAGTACAAACGTACAAGAGTGGGAAAGCACCAAAAACAACAATCCCTCCCACAACAACAAATAACCAAACCAAAACAAAGAAAAGCACTTAATAATCAAATTGCTCAAGACCAGTGACACAGAATAAACATTATAGGATGGGGAAGATTATATATAAGGGTATCAAAAATTCTAAAAACGCTACCAATCTAGAATGCCTGGGATCAAAGAGATTTTGCAAAAGGCCAAAGGGAATCTTTCTGAAGTGATGGATTTGTTCTATATTTTGACTAGAAGAAGTAGGTTATGTGAATGTTTCATTTATCCAAAGTCACTAATTTTATACCTATAGTGGGTACATTTTACTGAATATAAATTATTATTATTGGTACCAGGGATTGAATTCAGGGGCACCCAACCTCGGAGCCACAACCCCAACCCTTTTTATTTTGTTTTTATTTTAAGACAGGGTCTCACTAAGTTGCTAAGGCTGGCTTTGAGCTTGTGATTCTCCTGCCTCAGCTTCCTGATCCTCTGGGATTACAGCTGTGGCTACTGTGCTTGGCTACATTATGTATTGATAAAGTTTAATACTAAAAAATGTAAACAAAAAATATAAGATCTCTTATATATGAAGAGCTATTAAAAATTACTAAAAAAATCATCACCAAAGACTCAATGAAAAATGTGAAACCATGAAGGCAATTCACAGATAAAAAATGAAAAGCAACCTTTAATGGTATAAAGAGATACTCAAAACTTCCTAAGAACATTTAAGCACTTGGAAATGCCATAGACACATTGGAGCCAGAGAGGTTCATGCCAGAGGAGGGTGGGTCAAAGTCAGTTTGGTTAGGCATAACAACCTGAGTTCTGGGAAGCTTACTTGAAAAAAAAAAAAAAAAAAAAAAGGCTGAGCTAGGCAGGTGAAGAACTGAATACACAGCTCTACAACCTAGTACAGAGACAGCTGGTGTAGTTATTACCTCCACACCCAGAGACATTCAGAGGTCATTGTAGTCAAAGCTTGAATGTTTACTATATATTTACTCCCTATATGTGGCAGAGTCCAAAACTGAAAGGCCCAGTAAGAAATCTCTCCATCTCAAATATCTTGGTAAGAAGTATTTAGACTCTTTACTATTAATTGTTAATTTTTTAAATTTAGTTTTAATTAGTTATACATGACAGTAGAATGTACTTTGATACATCATATATAATGGAGTATAATTTCTCATTCTTCTGCTTGTACATGATGTAGAATCACACCAGTTTTATAGTTATATTATGTAAACAGGGTAGTACTTAAATGTTTTCAGGAGGGTTTGAGGGAATACCTTGATTGTCTATAGCCCCTTGGCTAAAGCTCCCTGGTAAGGAAGGCAAATTGAGTGGTCTGCAGGAATCACTGCTTTTCTTTGGCTAACAATACATACTTTTCCCTGCCCTTCTCTGGTGCTGCTGAGATGGCTCTGAAAGTTCTGTGAAGATTTTTGGCACTTGATTTCACTCTATCTAAAGCAGATTAAACTGTGCCAGATTGTGGTAGGTATCTGTAATTCTAGACTTCCATCAGCTTGCTGAAAAAAAAAAAAAAAAAGAGATGCTCAAGTTCACTCGTAATACAACCACCTTTAGGTTTGAACCAATATTCCCACTTAGTGTTCCTAGAGTTCTCACACAATATGAAGCTGCCTCCTCCCATCCATATTTTGCTTTCTCAATTTTGGAGGGACTTTCTATGTCTGTGTCTGCTACATTATGAAGGAAAGAATGAGAAATTGAAATAAAACCTGTGATTTCATTCTACCAACAAGCCCAGAAATTGTGGAAATTACATTGCACAGTTGAGTGTGTTCTTGTTCTATTACCAAGAAAATCTACAGGTAAATGAGAATCAAAGACAAACAAGGAGTAAAGTCAGAGAAAGGAGGAGATGAGAGAAACAAAGCAGCCTGTGTTCACAAAGCAATAACCCTCCTGTTGTTCTGAGAAGAAATGAAGTTCTCTGTACAAGTAAAACTCATTCCCTAATGCTACCCAGAAAGATTCACATGATAGTCAATATTTAAGTTGAAAAGTTAAATAACATAATTTTACTAAGCACACAATTAATTTAAAAAAATCAAAACAAATCACTTTATATAAGTAAAATCATAATTCATATATTTTGAAAATACGGCATGAAGGAAGTAGACAATTTAAACCTGCTACTCACTTGATGCTGAAATTTAGGTTATTTATACATATTAAAATTTAAGATATCTACTAGGCCCACAAACTCACACTAAATAAAATATAAACTCATATACATACATCATCACATAATCTGAACATGGCTCCAGCTGCTTGGGAGGGAAAGTGTACTCAAAATCCTTTTAAATTGTTTCATAATACCTTTTTTTTTTTTCAACCACATTAATCAACTACTAGTGAAAAGCAAAACATTAAAATGAATAACAAAAATTATTAATGTTAAAGATATAAACAACACTTTTTATGAGATATTTTTAAAATATTTTATATAAAAAAAAACTTAAACAGCAAGATGTGGAAGCAGATGTTCCATGTGCTTAAGAAAATCATTTTGGCCAGGTGAAGTGGCTCACACCTGTAATCTCAGTGGCTCAGGAGGATGAGGCAGGAGGATCACGAGTTCAAAGCCAGCCTCAGCAACTATGGAGGTACTAAGCAATGTGGCAAAAACCTGTCTCTAAATAAAATATAAAAAAAGGGCTGAGAATGTGGCTCAGTGGTAAAGCATCCCTGGAAGAAGAAAGTTATTTCAGTGACTCCCTCGCGTTGCCAATGCCTGCATTTTTTCTATATCCTTTTTTTTTTTTGAGAGAGAGAGACAGAATTTTTTAATATTTATTTTTTAGTTTTTCGGTGGACACAACATCTTTATTTTTATTTTTATGTGGTGCTGAGGATCAAACCCAAGCCCGCACATGCCAGGCGAGCGCGTTACCACTTGAGCCACATCCCCAGGCCCTATCCTTTTAATTTTAAAGATTTAGTTAGCTGTCGAATTTCACTGTAAGGCTGAAATTTGAACACATGCTTCAGAATAAATTTCTTCATGATTCAAAATGCAGCTTTACATTTAGAAAATAAGGTATTCATAAAAAAGTCACTTCTGTGTCCTGAAATTATTTATTTTGAGGAAAAAAATGATTTAAAAATATTAAGTCAAATAAATGCTTTCAGAGTATTTACAAAATGATCCTAAAATCTTGAACCAAATGTGCATGAAGCTGTAAGTAATTTATAGAACAGATCAGTGTGATTATATAAATAAATGGAAATCTCAATTTTAGGAGTAGATATATAGTTATATCAATCAGACTCTCACACGTTTAGCTTCTGTTAAGTACACAGAAGTATGTTAGGCACTTTATATAAAAAAGAATGAATTCCTCTTCCTAAAGATTTGCTATTTTGAGAAACCAGCCTCTACCTCAGAGCAAAGCCTGTCCAAGGAAGGGAGCATGACTCTTGTCCTTGGAAAAACCCACAGAGCACTCCTAGGACATACCCACCCTGCTGAGTTGTTTATCTATAAATAACAGGAGAAATCTACAGCACAAGGTGTCCCTGACTCAGTCAGGCTAGGTGAGGACCCATAGCAACCCCTTAGCAACCACCAATCAGCATGAGAAAGAAAAAATAACT